ACAGGTCATGAGTAGGTAACTATTGAATTAGTTGATACACTTTTCTTTATTATTTTTATATTTTACTATTAAATTGTATCCGGTAATTTAATAATGTATAATAATGATATATATACGTATTAGAAGATACCTATAAAGTTGAACGATCGACAATTTTTTTTATTCTTTCTGTAGTGTTTATAATATTATTTAGAAAATACATCATAATAAAAGGATTATGATCTGTATTATGTTTTGTTATTGTTTCTGTTTGTTAATAGATATTTGTGTTACGTAATAATTCATTTGTTTTACGCATTGTAATTGTATAATATAAATGTATCGATTAATTTAAAGCCAAGAAAGTAAACCGTTTTAGTGATAATGTTATATATTACATACGTAATAATGATATTTTATGATAATAAACGCCAATAATTATCTTATTGTTCTGAAGAAAATAAACTGCATAAGTATAATATATATATATATATATATATATATATATATTATATAGATATAGTGTAATTGTATAATAGTATGCGTTCTTTTTTTGTTTTAAAATGCTAATAAGTTTCTGTTTAATTTTTTATATATATTATATTGTACCAACATATTATTATATTATTATTATTTTGTAAAACCAATACGTTTTCAACTACCAAAGTATATATACATATATTATATATATATACTATTTCTTTTTGTATAACTATGTGTAGTAGTGAATAGAATCTGTTTTGTGATATTGAAACTCCTTATATTGTACATATACATACATATATACGCATAAAAAAAATACTGTGTTTTATTGCCTCGTCCACTTTGCTATACTTGGTAGGTGATGCCGATTATGATTTTTACGATCATTTCATTTATAACAATAAAATACCACCGCTATAATATTATTATGTGATATATAAACGCCTACCCGCGATCGAGGACAATTATTATACAATTGTACTCACAAGTATGTGCGTTGTATTGCGGCAGTGGCGTCGAAATCTCTCTCTCTCTCGTGTTTCATTGCGCTCCGAGGATAAGCGTTAAAGTCTCTTCGAGTTGGCACTGGCCGAAGCTGTGGCAAGACGTCGCCGAGATGGAAAAATTACATGATATAATAATGTTAAATTTGTTTTTTTCTGGCTGTCAAAAATATTTGTTTAAAACGGGTCTTAACGTAAAATTTACAGTAAAATTAAAAATTTTAGTATTTAATACTATAATTATTATCCAATATACTCAATTCGCTGTGAGTTTGTTTTTGCGTCGTTTTAGTGTTCATAAATGTGTGTGCGTGTGTGTTAACCAATAATAATAATACATGCATACTCGTCCACAGTTATGTAGAATTACAGCAACTAATGGTTTTTATTTATTTTAACATTACGATATTAACGACGTGTGAACAATACCCTAGATTAAGACTATAATAATTAGAGTTAGGATGTTTTTGACATAAACAATTTAAAAAAATTCACGAAAATATTTATATTTGCCCTTAAAACATACAAATATAACATAATAAGATGTGTTACAAAATATTATTGTAATATTCATTATTCGTTAAAAATAGAAGCAATATATTTTTAATAATAAGTAATAACTAATAATAACATATTTTAAATACTATTGTAGATATATTATTGTTTATTCATGTAAGGTTTTTTTTTAAATTACCTATACCTAGATGATATAAAAAAAACTGCATTTATTACTAAAAATTCCTAAAAATACAAAATGCAATTTAATATAATAGGTTATTGATTCTACCCCATACCAAATAGATTATTGAGTCTGAAATGTGCACGACTAAAAGAAAAAAACATGTAAAAGTCATAAACATCCTATAACTCTAATAATAATACGCCAAAGTATGTTTTACATCTAGTAGGCATGGCCGCATGGGTTTTGTTTTCGTCACAAAACTGCCGGAAAAGGTATAACAATATTCCGCATAAGCACACTGTTTACTTATGGCTAGATCACCAAGCACGAATGATCCTTCCAGGTTAATACTAATCTGTGTGAAGTATCCAAAAACATTGACGCCTCCCTGTGTAGTACAAATACCAGACTCCTCGTCGGACCGATTTGAATAACAACTTTTAGGTATCGAATAACCATATGATGGTTCATTAATTTCAAAATGAATGTGTGCATAAACGATTAAACAATTTAATCTTTGTAGGTACACCAATACTATATTATAGTCTTAATTCATTGTACGTTTGTCAATACGATAGGTACGTAAAAAATAAAAAGTTTTCCCTTAATCAGTCAAGTGATCACAATGTATTTATCAATTTTATAAGGTATTTCGCAGATTAAGTTAGGAACATAAACTATATACGGGTCTAGGACTTTTCGGCGCTGCCAATTCGGCGCTGCCATTTCCCCACTATATACGTATATGGTACATGCTAGGTATACAGTCCCAGCAGTCCCTTCACCCTTAGTATCTCCGTGGAAAATCGATATATTTAAATGCAGCTTTTTTTACAGTCATAAGTATCAGTGTTGAGTTTATCTTGATAAATATTCTTTTATCTTTTATCTTATCTAGATAAATAGAAAATATTAATTTACACAGTTATCTAAGATAAAAATCACCGTTATCTAGATGAATTTAATTTATTAAACGGCTTTTGTTTATTATAGAATATAGGTAGACAATTAAGTAATTTATTAAGTATGTAGTATTCACTAATAACTATCGACATTATCAATAACATACTAATGAGTTATTCTATATTGCTACGAGCTTACGGAGAGTGTCATAAAAAAATATAAAAAAAAATATCCTATAATTTAGTTATCTTTATCTAGATAATATTATTATAATTTATCTTTATCTTTATCTAGATAAAATTATATTTATTTAGGCTCAACACTGATAAGTACAGAAATTCTTATTGAATAGCATAATATTCAATTTTTTTTCAAAAATTTCTTTTAGGCAAGTAAGTTTTTGAAATTTCCAAGATAGCCATTTTTTTTTATCATATTTTTTCAAACAGTTCAAAAAAAAAACTATTAAAATTTTATGAAAATCACCCAAGTTGGAGATAATTATTATTGTTAATTTTAGCCGAAAAATCAGCGTGATTGTAGTAATTAACATGCGAATCGTATTTTGCTAATGTCGTATGCATACTACATAGGTATCATAAATATTGTTCTTAGAAATAAAAAATAATAATTTTGGCAAATTTCATTACATTTTAATATTTTTTTTTTTTGAACTGTTTAAAAAAATACTTTCAACAAAATGGCTATCTTGGAAATTTAAAAAACTTATTGCCTCAAAAAATTTTTTGAAATTTTGAAAAAAAAAATTATATATTATGCTATTCAATCAGAATTTCCATACTTATTACTGTAAAAAAAACATTTGTATAAATATATTGATTTTCCATGGAGATTCCAAGGGTGATACGGGACTTCTGGGACATAATGTATGGTAGGTATATACGAAGAAACCACTGCAGTTTTGTGGCTCTGTCTTTATAGGGCTCAATCCTAGAGAAATCGTCAATAAATGACTGACTGAAAATCTGTCTTACGACCTGATTTCGTATTTTTAAGCATGCCATTCTTGAACCAATCATATTTTAAACACTGGGCCTAATATATACCTGTAATTACCAACCATTTGGAACGTACTATCGACTCCGACGTGTGATATATTCGGCTGTAAAGCATATTTTTTAAATTTACTTCGAGATTATTGCATTCGATTGAAGTATGTACTTGTATTAAATGATTAAATAATAATGTAGAACATGTGGAGTATATAATATTGCATTTAAATGTGTACATTTACGGTCCTAGTGAAATATAGAAATAATTAATAAACGATCGTGGATATCATTTCTGATATCTCTGAGTCCCTCAAATCAACTGCAGATATAATGGTACCTTATTATTATTTTCGGATAACTTTTCAGATTTATTTTAAGGGGGTTCTATACCAGGATTTTCTGTTTTTGTCTAACATAGTGCGACATAGTAAGTTCGATGTGTTTTTTGCCAAACATAAAAATTTATCTAATGAAGAGATAAGGCTTCTAAAACAGATTTGAATTTTTCGCCAAGTCTACTTGAAATTGACTTTCCCACATTTTTGAGTTTTTGATTTTAACTTCTCCTAAAATTTAAATACAACAATTTTTAAATACTCTTTTTTAATATGACATTTTTAGGAATTGGGGAGATAATATCAAAAATGTGGGAAAGTCAATTTCAAGTAGACTTGACGACAAATTCTATCTGTTTCCAGAATTCTTATCGCTTCATTAAATAAATTATTGGTGTGTTTGGAAAAAAACCCGTCTAAAATGCTATGCCACACATGTGTTGGACAAAATAGAAAATCACGGTATCGAATCCCCTTAACACCATGGCCTCAGTTAATACTGTCTGGATTCGATTCGTATGTTTCAAATGAATAATAATTTTAAGAAAATACTTTAAAACTTTACCGGTGACGCTTTGTATGAACTTTGTAGTCTACAGACTTTAACGATCGCACCTGCAATCTAACCTGTATGACTGTGTGTAGTGTGCGTAATGTGCATAACATTAATAACTATATGGGCCGAGAAGTTGTTGCACTTTAAAAATTATACGTGAACAAATCAAATTAAAGTTCTTTATATTACAAATTACAGTGTATTTATATAAATATATAAATAATAATAATAATAATAATAATAATCAGGTACCTGATTGTTTATTTTATAAAATCACTCGTCAAAAACTCAAAACGCAAAACAAAAAAAAAAATTTAACTAAAAATGAACAACTGCAAGCAAAATTTCATCTCAACCATTATCAAATATATTAATTAATAAATACATTTTATGTTTGTATATATTTATACGAAAATAATAACAAAAATAGTTGCAACGACTTTACCGCCCAATATCGAATAATACATTAAACATTATTATTATTATTGCCACATCTTTTATTATTTTATACCAATACTGTTATTATCACCGTTGTTCTGTACACGTATGTTATTATGTGTGTGTGTGTGTATTACACAACAGTTATTCAGCTATTCGAACATCGGCACCGTGAACACGGTAACCGGAGTGATAAGTCCCACCAACCTGAGTCTGCTGTCCAATCCGGGCGGCAGTCCGTCGTCTTCATCGGGCGGCGGCAATGGCGGCAGCGGTAGGTCTCGCGGACACTCGCAGACGACGTTACCGAGGTGGAATACGCAGTGCTCGTCAGGACCACCTTTCATCACTCTCGACGAGGACTACATGATGACGCCACTGATGTCCGGCAACGGTGGACAAGGCAACGGCGGCACACTGATCGACGACGGCAAGTATTATTTACGTATAATATTATTCGTCACCAATAAGACGACCCGAGTACAACAGATGTGGACATTAACTATATCATGGGACATGGGTACCTAGTTAAACGGTTATTTATTTATACTTTTCAATTTAATTAGTTAAAGTATCCGTTACAATAACTTAGCTTTATCTAGTTAAATTGAAAATTGATACCTACGTCAAGTTTAATGCATATAATATCACAACACAAACCCTTCGTGAACTACGTGTGAAAATGGCTAAGTAAAAAAAAATATTAAATCTTTAAGCACTATAAAGTTGTGATATCATGAATAAATGCTAAGTATATTGAATTTAAGTAAACTTATTTTGTTTCAACGATTTATTTACTTGGCGAGGAATTATTTCTTAAAAGAGGCAAAGTGTGATGAACAAAATAATTAAATGCGAAGGGCTATTAAAATATAACTAGTCATTATTTAAAAAATATGACTAATAATATATACTTATATACTATTCTAAATAATTCCTGGCCAAGTAAATAAATTATTGAAACAAAATAAGTTTACTTACATTCAATATACTTGGCATTTATTCATCATATCACAACTTTATAGTACTTAAAGATCTTATATTTTTTTTACTTAGTTTTTGTTGTGATATCACTATTTTTTATGGTTATTAAATATTGAGAATTTATACAATAATCTATAAGATCGGTAATATTGTTGGTAACATTGTCAACGCTGATGCGACGACGACGACGACGGCCGTGATTCTGAATTCAATATACATTTTCATTAAAAAGTTTGCACTTTTTCACTTATAACTTAATTTCTAAACTTACGATTATGATTATTTTTACAAAAGCACATTCTTCACAATATTTCTGATGTTTTGGAGTTTACTAGGAGTTAATTGATGCATTAGAAAATTAGTTATGTCATATAACACATTTACCTGTATTTTACACAGTTTAAATAGGCAACTCCTGCTTCGATATACTATACAGTATACACACGCCATCGTGCAGCTATTATTTGTTTTTTACTGGATAATTATATTGGTAAATAACTGTAGATTAGTTAAAACCAATTAATTGTTTTTTGTGTTATTCAATCACGTTGTGTTCAATGATTTTAAATACAAATAAATAAACAAATAAACAGCCTAGGTATTTCTTTGGTTTAATATTTCTGTGTAATCATAAACTACAGCTATGCCTTCTCTGTCTCAAATAACTAAGTGTCTCAGGCGGCGACCAACTTTAGTACGTTTCGGTCAAACTACAATCGGTTTTCATTAACTTTAGTCTTTAATCATCAACTTTCATTTCCAGCTATCTGCCATATATAGTGTTTGAAGTATGAGAAATATTTCATGAAATATTTCACAAAAACGTGAAACATTGAAATTTTTTTTAACACAAATAAAAACACAATTTATTTATTTTTTAACACAATGTTCAGTATTCTAAATTCTAATTTCAGAATTCAGTAAGTATACAATATACATGTATAATATTGTATACCTACTTGTATCATTTAAACATTAAAATATTTAAAAATTTTGAATACCAATTTAAATGTATAATACCAAAGGTTAGGTATACATACAGGTACCATATAGTGATGAAGGTAATTTATGACAATTATATGTAAATATAAAACTTATTTAAAAATAAAACAAAATATACTAAAATACTGAAATATTTCATTTTTTAAATTTCATGAAATTTTCAAACACTAGCCATATATGGAAAATTGTTTTACTGTATTAATCTTAGCCAAATGAAATCTAAATACGGTTGTTTGAATAATAAAGTTAATAACAGTCTTTACGTAGCCGTACCTACCTGAGAATTACCATTTTTTGGACAGAGTATAATATGTGCAATAAGGAAGCATTGTATAGGAATAATAAAGGGAGCATTTTGAAATAATATATTGTGTGGCAAGGGCGGGAAGTGAGCTATTTAAGTCATGGGCGTCGTGTGAGAAAAAAAAAATAATAAAAAAAAAAACAAGGAATAATAAAATCAAACCATCTCAAAAGTAACGAAATAAATAGTAAGAAATAATAATATATAGTATGATCACAACTTAGGGATACGCAATATCGGGGAAAAGGGTATTCAGGCTAGTTTCATTAGTTGTTAATAGTATGCTATGACTTTGTATTATTACAACATATATCAAAATATAAGCTCATCAAAAGTCGTGGAGGTCCCCCACCCTGTTATGCACGTGACCGAACGAAATTTAATTTGTTGTGGTCATAGTTATTTCATCCCGATTTTAACGATAAAAATTTAATTACAGGAAAAACTACCACGTATCGTGCAATTGTTGGATTTTGCTAGAAAAATGAAGTCGTTGGTTATAACTCTTATAATTATTTACAGTGGTGTATATAGGATTTAATTTCGGTGAGGGGGAGGTTTTAGAAATTCCTAGCCGGAATTCGCTACCGTACCTATAGGTAATTAATAATAATAATAATTCTACTCACACACTTTTATTGTAGGGTTTGAACCCCTAATTGAAGAATGACCACAGATTTTTTAGATATAATATGCCATAATATGCCAAGGATCGTTATGTTATGCGGCTATTTATACTTTATATGTATTTAGTTAAACCGATTAAACCTATATGCTGTTTACTGCATACAGACAAAAATATTTAATATATAATTTTGAAATCAATTGGTTTTTCTACGTTTTACAGACAGATACTTTAACAGCGTAGTTCACCAAACGGACGGCATGGATAGGATGGACACAAGCGAATCTCAACACATCCAATCGTCGAATTCAGGTGGTCGGAACACCCCGAACTCGGTTGACGGACAACAAGACAACATAAGCAAACCGCAGACGTAGCCAATAAATTTATGGAAATCAAATATTCGTATTATATAATATAGGCAATTCATTCTAGTTAATTATATTATCATTATTATTATTATTATTATTATTATTATTATTATATTATTATTATTATTATTGATACTATTATGGACATTTTCATACGTGTAAAATAAATATATTTTATTACAATTTAAATAAATTTAAATCAAAACAAAACCGAACGGTCAACTTTATTGTTAACCGATATAGTCAATAAGGATAATTTATAAAATAAAGTGTATTGCTTTACTGTTTTTATAAGTCACGAACACAGTTATATTAATTAAATCCATTGTTTTTTAACTAGGCTATACGAAGTTTGTTTTATTTCAATAGATATGAATTCAATTAATATATTTACACGGAAACAGGTATAGGCGTTGACGCGTTGTCGTGAGTTGGCAAAGCAAAAAAATCAGCAACCGTTATATTAATTGATAAACCAAAAAAAAAAGTAAGAATAAAAATTATAACATTAATATTGTCAATGTGAAACCAATTAAAAATAAACCTCCATGGCAATTTTTCAACAGTTGCCTACTGATTATTTGTAAAAATAAACGTCGAAACACGTTCAAAAATATATTTTTACATTGAAATTAGTACTATTGGGAATACGAGTAACACGTTTAGGTACACATTTTTCAGACAACAAAATGAATGCAACTGCAACGTTTGGATACATCATATTTTTAAAATAACACCACATTTGAGTACCAATACATTTAAGTACCTACACATTTTTTTTATTTTTTTTTTGAGTCTATTAGCGTTACCCAGGAGGGGAGGTTGGCTCATAACCGCTCATTCCCATTTTAAAAATATTTTTTGTATTAGGTACATAATATTATATTAAATCATTGGGTCATTACAAAAATACTAAATCTACTTAATTTAAAAGTCGTATTTGATTTTATTTACTGCTATCCAGTTAGGGCCATGGCGGGGGCCTCTTCGATTTTTTTTTTTAGGGTCTCGTACAAGTTTAATACAAACCATTATTCATTTACTGACTTGTAATCTACTGTACAGCAGAGCGACATCCACTTGCCGCTTTTTTTTAATTTATTTGGCGTGTATCTGGTCTATATAAGGAGTAAGGACTCCGTAAAGTATTTATCGATATATATTTAAGCATACCCAATTTTTCTTTACAGGGCCCAGATGCTTGCCTATTATTATAGTGTGAGCACTATAAATTATAATAGTACAAGTTTCAATAGTAATAAATAGGAGGAGGTTTTTTTGGATTAATTGTGCTAGGTACTGCAAGTTAAGTTAGGTTTTATATCTCTCCTTATAAACAATGGGCTCAGGCGAGGTCACTAAGGCCCGGCTCACCCACCCTGCAGCGGCGCCACTGTTGGATTCAGCGATCATGGAAATGTTGCATCATACAAAATTATGTATGATTTATAATATTATACATATACACTTACAGCTATATGGCTATGAGTATATAAAATTAAATATTAAACAATGATAAATATTTTGCATTTACTTTTGAAAGTTTACGTGAATAATATTATACATAGGTATATAGCTTATGGATTTGTCTTCTAAGTTAAAATTCTATAGGCAATATAAATATAATTTTGGTTTTCGTAATTTCGTTTCTATGTAATTAATAATAATTATTTATTATTTTGCAGTTTAAAATATTTCAATAATTTCATAGTTCATTACTTAACGAATGATTTGCGGATTTGCGTTAATATTATACGTAGTGATTTTGTAAGTACCTATGCTAGCCCTGTTTTAGATTCCGAGTGAAACGATGAATGCATTGATTTTACAATGATGTGTGTTTTTTTTTTTTTTTTTGTGTCTGTCATCACCTTTTAGGACAGTAAAAGTGATTGGATTTTCTTCAACAGTATCTTTTCTGATAGGAAAGTGAATCTAGTTGGTACTCGGGGGGGGGGGGTCAAAAGTAAAATTTTTCAAACGCACTGCGAAAAACAAAAGAAAAATTAAGGAAAAACGGGAATTCTTACGCAAAATCGGTTTTCCAAAAAATCGATTTTGGTTTTTGGTATAACTCTAAAACAAATGAACGTATATACATGAAATTTTCACTTGTTGTTTATATTTGCATTTTCTATACACGATAACATTTTCAAAATATTTTGATTTATTTTGAACTGTTTAGGGACATTTTAATTTTCTTTTTGTTTATTAAAAATAAATGTATAATAATATGATTATAAGATAGGTATAACAGACATTTTTATAATGCTTAGTGACTCGAGAAAAATCGATAATATTCTATCGATTGTGTTATTATACGTATTGGGAAACGCTATCACGTAAAAAAATTAAAAGTTTACAAACTTTACAAATATATTATTTACACATGCCCATATAGGTATCCTGATATGACTGTTATTTATTTTTCACCCTTCGTACCAATTGATGAAAAGGTCTTTTGGAAATGCTTGTACAAAAAGTGTTGAGAGGTTGTGCGTGAAGATTATGAAAATTATGAAGATTGTGAATATGTTATATATTATATTTTACAAGAGTAGTTCATCTTAGGAAAAATTTGATTCTTTCTAAAGTTCGAAAACGTAACCTAAAATGTCATAAAAATTATGTATAAGTGATGTCAGGTTTTCATAAATTACCTAAATTTAAGAATATCTATACAATATTAGTATCAAAATAAACTGAATGTATCTTGGTCAGATATGATAATACATAACATAAACGGAGTAATTCAATAAATGTCCATTATAAAAATTATTAAAATAAAAACAATTTGAATACGATTATAAGTACTTCAAAACTAAAATATAAAAATAAACACCTAAAATCAAATACACGAATATTATGTGTTTATTTTAGAATATCCCATGTTTATCTTCTCAGAATCAACATTGAATGTTTGAGCATTAATTATTATTATTGTTATTAGTTTGTTATTAATTTTAACATCCGTCGTCAGCTACAACTATCTATTATATATACGAACTCGTTTTTCTTATTTTTTCTCTGTCATAAAAATACACAACTCTGAATAAATATTTTCTGAGAGTAAAAAAGAAAACGTCAAGAGAGATCTATCAACAATCCCACATCACCCACTCCACACATCTATATTATACAATATTTACACCACTGAACAGAGGGATCATCTTACAGTGCAAAACGATTGGACATTTTTAACTTTTCGGTATTCAAAATCCATACAACGTCTGAGCCCTAAATATCCCTAAAAAGGGATATAACACATTTGGGCACATAATCATTAAATGTTTGGTCACTATTTCTTTCCGATGTCATAATACCTTTCGGTGAGGGCACTTTATTGGACTATAACAAATAATATATATATATATATATTTGTTTTTATTCAGGTATGTATAGGTACCTACGTAAAGTATATATCTTTAACCTTATATGGCTTATATTCTTGTTTAACTTTGTGTCGAAAAATTGTATCTTTTTAATATAACGTGCAGAAAACTAAACACAAATACTATTAACTGTAAATGTATTATAATATCTTTGTGAGCTCTCACCACTATTCCACTCCTGGCGTTGATGTAGGACGGAATCTTTTGGGCGCGCATGGAAAACCACAATCCAGACCACGGGCCACTTCCGCCTGTTCTTCTAGGCCTCTTGAATGTTCCCCGATCATCAATCCAGTAGTTAAAATTGTCCCCGTGCATCCCGTAAGATTGCGTTTTTCTAAAACATACGAGCATAGAAACTCCTACCTAACGCCAGATCACAGATTAATATTTATATTTTTAATGATCAAAATATATCTTTTACCTAACTATATAATGACCAGATAATTTGCACTTAAAAACTTTATGTCAATATTTTAATGAAAAATAAGTAAAAGTTGCATAATAAAATCAAATAGGTAATATAAATATATATATTACTAAATAATTAATTAATATACTGGGCCCCCAACATGTTCAGTGGGGCCCATTATCTTCTTGAAGAATAAATAAAAATAAAATAAATAAATAAGTAAAAAATGTAATTACTATAGGTAATATATTACTTACTTATTATTTATCCTAATTAAATTGTGATAAATGTATACTTAGGTATAGGTATACACATTTCAAAGTTTTCTATTTTAAAATTTTAATTTTGGTTATTCAAAATATATTTAGTATTTATATAGTGAAAAAGTGCATTGAACGTTAACAACGCATGTTAGGTAATACGTTGCATATTTAAAATGATTCGAAACATTTATTTCTATGTCTAAACTATCATTTTGATTGCTTGCCATAACCTCAGAATATGTTTTGATAGTTTTATTTATGTCCTTAATTTTTTTCTAAGACATACATTAATTTATTTTTAATTTATATTATTATTATAGAATTTTAATTAATACGCTATTCAATTATTCTAATTTAGTGAGTCTTGTGTATAACTCAGCTAAATGTAGTTATAACTTTTATAAGAATTCCAAACTTTAATATTATTATTGTTTACTAATAATTTAATTTCCCCAACATGGATGGCATAATTTCCAAATTATCAGTTCATAATTAAACGCTATAATATTTAAAACACAAACAATACCAATACCTAGTCACTGTTATACAGGCGATTCTTTTATCATTGAACACTCATTATTTCAAAAAGTATTAATGCTTTTGAAAATATTATTTTGTAAAGTTTCAAGTTGTTAAAAAACAACGTTTTTATTAAAAAATCATATTTTTAAATATTTTTTATCCTTATATTTTTTGTTTTCACTTTTTTGAATGATTTTAATTTCATATTCTAAAGCAGACTATTTTTCTAAGTATTTTGATACATAAAAATAGAATTTAGGAAGAGTAGTTTATGAGTCATAAGTGTTTAAAGTTTAGATAGGTGGAGAGGAATGGTACGGTGTTACCCCGCAAAATATTTATCCACTACTCCGCTTGTCTAAACTTTAAATACTTATAACTCATAAACTACAAGTCCTAAATTCGATTTTTATGCTTCAAAATACTTAGAAAAATATTCTGCTTTGGAATATGAAATTAAAACTCTATGTTGTCATTCAAAAAAGTAAAAAACTTCAAAAATTGTAAGGATAAAAAATATTTAAAAATATAATTTTTTAATAAAAACGTTGTTTTTTGACAACTTGAGACTATAAAAAAAAATATTTTCAAAAACATTAATACTTAATGAGAAATAATGAGTGTTCAATGATAAAATAATCAATTATAAAAATGAACAAAGGAATTTTTATTTATAAATTGTTCAGTAATAATTTAATATTGAAAATTGATAGAAACCCAAAATAATTGGAAAAAGTTTTATAAACGTGGAAAATTGCAATAAGTTGCAGCATGAAATTAAATAGGAATGTATATGGTCAGTTTAGAGATATCTTTTGACAAAAAAAATGTTGCAATATCAGTTGAATCCTTCCTTTTTAGTTATAACTTAAGACGCATAACATTACTTGCAAGAGATTTGATATAAATCTTAATTAATAATTATTATTGAATAACATAATAATATGAATATTGACTACATGAGTACATTATCGCGTTAAAATTTGAATATCATCAATTCTAAACACGAATTTATCTGATATTTATCTAGGTAAAAATGTATTCATTTTTATCTTTATCTATATAAAATGTAGTACTGTCATCTTTTTCTGGATAAATTAATAGCTGTTATATCTATTCCCAACACTGTCGACACCTCCACTCTGACCTCACAATACGTCATATTAATATACCAATTCTACCATACCGTTTACTGAATTCGGATACGTCCGAGTTGAAACTGTAACAGTAACCGTAGCAGGTTTTCTGGAGTTCGAAGAGTTCAACATTACATCAATAAATAAATACATGATATATAATAAATTGAATACAAATTTTAAATTTCCAATAAATAAGTGGATATTGTCGATGTTTCCCCAAAAAGCAAACTTTTTGGTTGCACCTAGGTTTTTTTTGTAATTAAATTAAATAAAAGCTATTTTTTATTTCAAATGCGTTTTTAAGAATTTATTTTGCCATCAAATCCTAGCCCTAGTTATAAACGTATGGCCAATATTGACTAAAGCCGGTACTGACCATGCCATAAAGAGTTGAAGTATATTAAAATATTATTATAGATAACGTGTTACCTGTTTATAATTAAACATATATGTTAGGTTAAAATGGTTTGTATAATAATTTTAAATCAGTTCAACCACGATTTTTTTTTTTATTTCGCATATTCTATATCGTATTTTTTGTGGACAATATTTTCAAAAATTATATGATGAGATTTTCATCAAATGGTTCAAAATAATAACTAACCCATCACTCTTCACTGGAGCTCAAACATAAATATTGGTTTGACCGAGATGAAAATAGTTTTAAAATTTTTTTCTAATTCGTTATTTCTAAACAATTTTATAATTTGTATTCTTTCTTTATAATTCTTACAAAATATTAAAAAACAAATTTGTATTAAATATGGTTGTACTTCTTACTAAGTTTTAGACTTTTAGTAGAAGTTTAATACTTTATAGTTAAGGATCTCATCTTATATTCGTATAATCGTATCCATTCGATTATACAGATATAATATACAACAAAATATTATATTTAGGTACTTATGAATTTTAAAAGAACGAGTTTATACAGATTGGTAGTCGAGTACGTCGTTACTTGTTTCAGACTTAAAATACCTAATAAGCATTCGTTATTCAATAGCTAAAATGTATGAATTTTAATTGTATATTAATGTAGTAACTAGAAAAATTTTTTGTCTATAAGTATATTTTTTTTAAATAATTATTTACCCACTACTTCCTTGAAAATCTTGTTTTGTAACACCTACTTAACTATTTTAGCTCTAAACCACTTCCAAATTTCAAGTTTATGGTATCTGTTATGGCTATTAAGATATTGTATATTATTGTGTGTTATTGATAGTTGTGCTGTACCAAATATAAGAATATATTAGATACCTTTTATTATCTAAAATATTAAATATACCTAAGTAAGAATCAGTGTTTATTTGGAAGAATCTATCTGTATACATTATAATAATATAATTATAACAAACCTAATGAAGGTAATTCCTGTGAAATCTGTTTTACAGATTTTATAAGCAAGCAATATATTTATTTTAAATACTTACCGTTCGCCGACGTTTTTGCCTCGTATTATGTGTTTTAACGCGTTGACGGAAATGCCTAGAAAATACTCTCTACCGAAATATTTTAGCTTTTTCTTATGTTTCGGCGCCGATCCATTTCTGTATTATAAAATACCTATTTATCAATAATTGCATGTTAATATGTTTTTATAAACGTGTATTTCAATATATTATTATTGTTTCAAAAACAAAAACAAAAAACAATGTGCCAATGTGCCACGGAGAGCTTTCAGAAGACAAGTAAATATTTCAAAATATATTTTGTGTTCAATATTAAAATTAAATAACAAATCATTTAAATTATTTTCCGGTGGAGTATAATATAATATTAACTGAAATGCACTGAAATGTACTTAACTGAAATGCATTTAAAAAATACCTCGGCAATACACTATAGTGTGTTTATTTTCCACTTTCACTGTTATTGGCGAGTAAATACCTATTACCGAGGAGACTGTGTCAAAAAGGTTTTCAAAGTGTACAACTTTATAGTGCAGGTAAGTATATCGTGAACGAGTGTAGGTATCTACATTTCCGTCTTGTTTCGAGCCCTTGTCCGACGATGATGTGTTTCTTTTACTGTCATTTGTCTGTCAAACTAGAAATACACAAACTTAAATTGTATTATAATATTATTTCGTAAATGCTTGTCACATATTGTATGGTGATTAGGTCTAATGCCGTTTTGGTATAATGCACCATGGTTTACCACGTGAAAATTATACTATAATGTTATAATATTTAATGTAAATATAATGGTCGAGTAAAACGTTTTATAAATATTTATTTTTTGGGCACAACGCACTTTTGTTAAACTATTGTTCTATCATAGTATTGGAGCTTTTATACTTTGGTAAATTCTATAATTTTAATATTTTAGATACGATACGAAATTGATGTGTCTACAGCTGAGAAAATGTAATATAAAAATATTTTAAGTAAGGTATATTTGTATTTGCTTATATTGTTTCTATAACGATTTTTTTCAATCAAAATTACATTATAAAATAATATTATTATATTTTTGAAGATTTTAAAATCAGAATTTCAAGAATTTTTCTCAGCTTAGATCAGTTTTAGTGCCATAAAGCAAATGCCAATCAAAAAAAAAAGGTAACAGACAAGGAAAATATTCTGGAATTAGGATGGTAATCTCAAATATTTAATTATAAATCTACATACCTAATATATTTTAAATAAAAATAAAAATCTGTAACTATTTACACCAATATTTTTATAGGTATGGAAAAATAGACCAATATTTATGGAAAATAGTTCCGAATTGCATAGTAAAAATCAAAAATCGAAATTGCGTGACACAATTAGGTTCGGAAATGAAAAAAAACTATTTGCGAGAGCTAATGATACAAATGAAAGAAATGATGGTAAATCATATAAATATATCAATTTTGTTATGATCATAATAATATATACTGTATACTTTAACACTTACCCATATTATGTTATATGAATATATATTTTACGCTTAAACATATATTATTGTAGAAACCAGCAAGAGACTTTGGATTGAAATTGGTGTTAAAAAACATATTGAGTCCGGAAAATGCAAATAAATCTGTCCTAAAACATCCCGTCGTTGCCGAAAGGCTAAGGGCAGAAAGATTACTTGAAATCAACAAGGAAAAGGTAAGATAATACTTATAGTATTGTCAGTTGTTTTTGAAGGTATATTGAAATGAATTATTGTACAATAAAAGCCGAAAAAACACTATTTACGGCCGTATGTCAAAGAATTTGAAAAAATTCATTGCAAAAATATTCCGTCAGAAGTTGAACAAGTGGGTATAATATTCAGGGAACTGAAATTCGGAGAAAGTTGTGTTTTCGGTTATCATAAACACGGGAGAAATTTAAAACGAAAAATGAACGAACGTAGGTACCAAAAAAATCGGACTACACCTGCCACGATCACACTTATACAAAGGAAATTAAACGACGATCACTTAAACACAATGACTAAGATTAATATAAACAACCTTCAAGTAAGTTATCCCGTTGAATTAATAATAGCAACGTATATATTATAGGCTTACAAACCAGAGTCTTAATGGAGATAATATGGTCATACATTGTTCGCTATGAAAATATTGTCCCCCAATTTTCAATTTGAATAATTTTTAATTTTTACTTTTGAACCTTATATATTTATATAATAGTATAAGCGTACATTAATTTTAATATTCTAGTGCGTTTTAATTTAAGTATAACAGTGTGATTCACCAAAAAAATCCTTAAATAATAAATTTAACAGAATTTTTGTTTTTAATTTGTATGTAGGTATATTAATAAATAATGGGTGTTTAGAAATACTTAGATTTTTTTAAAAGTACCATATAGGAATCTACTATAGCTATAGGTACAACTTCTTGTTTATCAAACAACAGAAACTTTTTTCACGATGCATCAAAAATAAATTCGAAAGAGTAGTTTTTGAGATACCTACTAAACTTTTCGTAGGTACTATGAATATAAAATATAGAATAGGTACCGGTACCTATTAGGTACAAGAATATAAAATATAAAATATATATGATATTTAGTTTATTTTACCTATAAGTGCTTTTTAAACTTGGACAGTTTTTCCAAATTACAATATTATGTTAATATATTAATATCATTAAATTATTATAAATTTTAAATCATAGGCCTCGTATCTTTTAAACCTATTATAATATAACAAATAAATCTTTATTTACAGATATTAATTATTAAAAAATAAAATTATATAAAATATGTCGCTTGAATATAATAAAGTTAACTTTTCTATTAAATGTTATGGTTTAAATTATATTTTATAGTATTAAATACATAGCTGCTGCTTGCAGGTATAATATTTATTCAAACGTTAAACGCTAAAGAAAAATTATGGAGTGATCTATCGGATATCATCATGACCAACAACTTTTGTTATTAATTCTGCTGTCATAAGCCACTATAGTGTCGTAACTCCATGTTTGTAAATATCTAGTTTTGGATGTCCATCGATGGATATTTTAATTCATTATCGATTTCCTTAAAAAAATAATGGTTACAGATAGATTTAAAAATAACAAAGAACCCTGTGGGTATGTCTGAGGGTACATCAAATTATTTAGATAAGAAGCAAATTTGCACCGAATGTCCAAATACTAGAACAAAAAGTCGTATGTGATCTGAAGTTACTTCTTTTCTTCCTAGTAATTTTTGTACGACATAGTCATAGCTTATGACAGCAGAACTATGTATTTATGTATAAAATGTATATTACTAACCCAACGGTTTTTTTGATGACTGCAGGACCTCAAAATCTTCCATGAAAAGGCCAGAAAACTAATGAAAGAACCCTATTACGGCCGTTTTTAGACTTCGAGATCGGAATGAACGCACATCCATTTACGTACGTGTCTCCAGGCCCCCCCCCCCCACATTAAAATTTTCCAATTTTTTTTGTAGCAAATAATTAGCATACAATTAGCATGTATTTCATGCTAAATTTTTGTAATTTGCATGCGTTTTATTTAGGCGAGATATCAAAAAACAGGTGGGGGGCTGTAAACACGTGTTTCCGACCCCCCGACACATCACATAAACTCATTTTCAAATTTTTTTTTACGCCAATATTTAGCATGTAATTAGCATGAATTTGCACGACAGACCCCGCAACTCTATCGTAATCCGTTGCTTCGCAAGACTCATTTTTCTGATTTGCACGTGCCCCCAGCCCCCCACTTTGGGAAATACTTTGAAATTCAAAATCGTTTCTACGCCAATATTTAGCATGAATTTGCACGATAGACCCTGAAATTCGCACGTGTCTGGTACTCGAGCAAAACCCGTTTTTTTCGCGCGTCTCGCCAGCATAGCCCAAAATTGAAATTTTGAGAAAAAAAAAACTATATTAAGCTATATTTAGCACGCAATTCGCACGTATTCCCAAGCCTGGTTTTGAAATTCGCACGACCCTCCTTCCCCCGAAAAATCAAAATTCATAGGTGGGAGGGGGGGGGGCAGCAATACGTCGTATATTAAATATAAATTTTTTTAATGAAAATACATTTTTATTCGAATAAGCTTTTTTTGTTAATTTTATATTTTTATTCATATTACATTTAATCAAATTAATTTTTTTATTACATACAGTATTTTATATTGAATTTTTTTTTAATAAATATCAAATATAGATCGTGTCAGGGTGCCATTTTTTTATGTCCAATAATATAAATCTTATTTGAATAAAAAAGCTAAGTTTAATAGAAGAAAATCAATATTTTATAAAAAAAATTGAATTTCAATATAAATGCAATTTGAATAAAAAAATTAAATTAATAAATAAAAAAAACTAAAAATCCCAAGTCATTAAAACAAATATAAAAAAAAAATTTTAAAAAATATTGATTTTCTTCTATTAAACTTGAATGATAAAAATGTATTTTCATTAAAAAAATTTATATTTAATATACGACGTATTGCTGCCCCCCCCCCTCCCACCTATGAATTTTGATTTTTCGGGGGGGGGGGAAGGAGGGTCGTGCGAATTTCAAAACCAGGCTTGGGAATACGTGCGAATTGCGTGCTAAATATAGCTTAATATAGTTTTTTTTTTCGCAAAATTTTCATTTTGGGCTATGCTGGCGAGACGCGCGAAAAAAACGGGTTTTGCTCGAGTACCAGACACGTGCGAATTTCAGGGTCTATCGTGCAAATTCATGCTAAATATTGGTGTAGAAACGATTTTGAATTTCCAAGTATTTCCCAAAGTGGGGGGGGTTGGGAGTAGGATGATTATGTAGGTTCTGGAGCTCCTCCCCCTAAAATTTTACATGTAAAAGCATAGGCTCCTCTGTATAGGCAATTCGTAGTACAGCCTCCTCCCAAACTTGGATTAATTACTCAATATAGGCAACCCGCAACACACATAAACTCGTCGCACGCCACCCGATCCGACACGTGACCGACATATGTGTATTTGGATGTATGTCATTGTTATTTAAATACCTACATATTGATTAAATTCATGTGATTGGTCAAAAAGAACTAGTCCTACAAAGTATATTACAACTATTGAAGCGATGTATGGTGAACTATTTATATTATACTAATATTTGATTTGAAATTGTAAATGTATTAAATTGAAATTGCAAACATCAAAAAAAGAGTTGTTTATACTTAATATTAAATTAGTTCAGAGTATTGTATTTCCAGATTTGTAATAAACATGCTCAAAAGATATTTTATATGAGAAGAGGTACAATATTTGATTTGTTAAAAAAAAAAAAAAAAATATCACTAAAAAACTTAAATCCTAATAAATCAAAGTATCCAAAAGGTAAACAGCATAAAATAGATATATTAAATCTATAATAATAATTAACACATTATTTTGTAATAGTTAAATCTACCAAAGCTATACACCAGGGATGGCGAACCTTTTTGTACCAGCGTGTCAAATAAAAATGTTGGTTGGATTTGGTTTTCCTTGCGTGTCAACTAGTTTGATAACCCTTTTTTAAACTTAAAAATTCCTACATCTATGGTTTGAATGATAAAAACACAAGTCAAATATTATATTATCAAACAATTTAAATATATTAGATACCAAAAGTATAAGTAACACGTAAGTATGTAAAAAAATTTAATTTATAAAAAATAAAAAAATATTGAAACGTTAAAGAATACAATTCTTATTGCATTTTTAATGAGAAAATTGTTGCTGCATTTTATTGGCTAATGAATCAATTCTTGGACTGTAACTGGTTGATTTTAGTTGAACACACGCTTCACTTAAATCTGTTCCAAGACGATTCCTTACAGTTGACTTAATAAAATTCATTGAAGAAAAAAGCTGCTCACACGCATAAGTAGATCCAAACATTGTCAATAAAGAAAGAGCTAGTTTTTTCATAGATGCACATGAATTTGGAAGACTTTTCCACTCATTATAAGAATCAAATTTTCCGATCTAATATTCCTACCAATTTCACTATGATTATTTCCCAGCTCATTATTCAAATTAATAAATGTATTTCTCCAAATATTACTTCCCTGAAATTCTATTAACTCCATTTCTAAATTTTCAATTCTTAACCACTCAAAAAAACTAAGTTCAAGTTTGTCAAATTTAATATTATGTGGATTTATTAAAAATTCTAAAGTTGAATCTAGTTGACGAAATTGGGAAAATCTGCTTGAAAATAATTCGTATGCATTTTTTAATATTTTTACATATTTTGTTATCATTAATTTCATGTCAAGCTGATTATCTTTAAAATGTTTTGAATTTATTAATTGCTTTTTCAAATAAGGAAAATATTTCAAGTTTTCATTTTGAAGGTCTTTACAAAAAACTTCAATTTTTTTTTCAAAAATGTTAATATTATAATCAAACATATAGTTAAAACTGTTAGTCTACGTCCTTCGACCAGTGGTTTTTCCAGTAACTTTTTACACAGTTGAGTGTGTCACTAAAATAATGTGCACGTGTCACTCTGTGACACGCGTGTCATAGGTTCGCCATCTCAGCTATACACAGTTATATGTATATTATATGTATAAAAAAAATTAAGTTACCTATTAAGTTAATGTATTGTTAATATTATGCCATTATGGTCCATTATTAAATATGGTTATTATATCATATATTGTATATTTATGCACCATGCTATAAATTATAATAGTCAGTAACGAGTAACAGACAACAGACAATAAATTACTGTACACTACAGCAGTGATTTAAAACAGTTAACAGTTGTTGCAACTGTAGTACAGGCAGTCTACTAGAGTAACAAAAACGGGATTTTATCTGTGACATAAATAAACAGCAAGTAGTTACTATTTATTTTGTAAATACACATGTTAATAACACTGTATTTTCTTTATGATAGACAGTTGTAATGATAAACCATGGACAACATTAACTTTTATGGACTAAAATAATTCTGTATTTCCGTATGTTATTCTATGGTGTGTCGTTGCATAGAATAGAGATTAAATCGTGATCTAAGCTACAAACAGAAGCAGACCAATAATAATATGATCGTTTGTTATTGTATGTAGGTATTATCGGCTATCAGGTACAAAGATTATCACCGCTATATCTTGGGTCGAACGATATCGAATTTATTACTTGTAACTTCTGGTCTTTATAATTGATAATAATTATTACGACCACTGACCAGTGCCGCAATCACCTTCGTGGGGTGAACTTCATGACTCCCTGAAAGATGGGCATAATAAAATACATTTAGAGGCTCTAAGTACTTTATGAACTGATTTGAAAAGTGTGATATCTTTTGCCCTGGGACCATAGGCGCAATTTCAACTTTTGACTTGGGGGGGGCTGAATATATTAAGGGCAAGCAGACCCGTGGGGGGCTATGCCCCCCACACCCCCCACCGTCACCATTCATATTATCTTACCTTATAATATTACTTCATAATCCAATTAAATTTTTTTTCTTCATTATTACGGTTGACCTACCTCAATTTTCAAGTGGGGGTGTGACTTATAATAACATGATTTTAACAACATAGTAGGTAATACATTTATTAATTAATTTAATAGAAGTTAAAATAACGTATGAATATCACCGTAATAAATCGTTACAAAAATGTCAATGTTTAACAATCCTAAAATAATTATTTTCAGAGTTACAATCAAAAAGCTGAAAATCGAGGGCATTCCTTTTTCTAATTTTTTCTTTTTTTGATTGGCTGTAACTTGGTCAATTTTGGACTTAGAAAGTTGATTCAACTACCAAAATTCATTAAAAAAAATAGGCAAAAAATAAGTAGTGGTTAAAGCAGGGGGTTGCCATTTAAAAAAAAAAAGTTGACATGCGCATGCGCGTGACTAATTAAGTAAAAAAAATTCAAAGACCATAAAAATGTGTATTTTTATGTCATAACAACTGCCAAAAAAACGGAATTCAAATAGCAGGTCTCTACGTAAAGATATTGAGTGTTCTCGATTACCGTTTACACACTGTATATCAATCAATATAAACAAACAACAAATTATAATTGTAACCTTTTATTGGTCTTAGCATACTCAATTACGTACCTAACCATAATATGTAACCAAAATATAAATGCATTCAGAATTCAGATAGGCGCACTAAATGGTCGCAGGGAAAGACCTAGTTTGCCGAATTTAAAACAATAAAAATAAACATTTAATATAATATAGAATAAACTATATATAAACACGTCATATCAAATATTATGCGGGCTTATCGCCTGTTACTAGCATCGTGGGTTTAGTAAAGAGTATCTTATATAATTATTTATTATGAAGTAGGTAGGTACCTAAATATACATTTAGTATAATATACAATCGCGATCATGACGTGATAACAATAATAACA